CGCAGAACGGGCCATGGTGTCATTCACGTTACAAGGGTGAAGGTTGGATTCGCGTATACTGGGGATGCCTATCACTTCCGAAGAAGGAGCGGACACGTGGACCAAGGAACTCGCAGTGGTTTGTAGGAAGTTCCCACATCTAATTAGGTGCTTATCCAACAAGGTCGGAGGAGCAACACAAGACCTTGCCCGCAAACTTGTGGAGGCCGTCCCAGTGTTACGCGCTATGCACTACCAGCTCACTCGAGTACAACTGCAGAAACTCGAAGGCCTCTACAGACATGCCTTGCGAATCATAACCGGCCTCCCGTATCACACATGCACGAAATAGCTATTCAGATACAGTCAACTCGCTGCTCTACAAGATATCTTAGCCAGGGCAAACAACGATCAGGCACTGCGCTTTTATATACCGCACGGCCAACGTCTTTTAGAATATGACGACCAGATGTTTCACGCGACAACGTTTGACTCCACGGTGCCCCAATCAGAAGACATACTCATGACCACCGCAAAGCCTATACCCGTGAAAGTAACTACCAAAAAACATGCCCACCAAAGGAATAGGTATGCACAAGCAGCTCCGCAGCATGCCCTAAAGAACAGAAGATCTACATGGACGGTTCATGGCAGGAGGATGACGGTCTATGGCTCTAGCTGCAACGGACATTTTCGGAATGAAACGCACGCCGTGCCTTTCTACATTCGACAATGTCTCCACTACGGAGCTCGAGTTGCAGGCTTAGAAGGGGTCCAGCGCTACCATTCTCACGTACAGCCTGGAGGCTCTGAAAGCCCTACGAGGCCGCGCACAACTGAACTCCACTTCTTATATCTCATTAAAAAAAGTCAGCAAAGGAATCAGTAGAAACCACAACGTCGAGATATAAGTACAGTGGATATATCGGGTGTTGCCCGAAACAACCCATTCCCGTTTGAACCCATCCCGTTTTGACCCATTCCCGAAACGACCTTCCCGCTTGAACCCGTCCTGTTTCGACCCATTCCCGAAACGACCTTCCCGTTTGAACCTGTCCCGTTTCAACCCGTTTCCAAAACGCCCTTCATATTTGAACCCGTAGACAAGACATATTTTACGTTTGAATTCGTCCCGTTTGAACCCGTTGGTATAAAGCCCCGCACATCTCAACCTCTTCGCGAAAAGTGTTCATCGTTCTAATCCTGGTTTGCGCAGTTTTTCTGCCAAAGAATATGTCCCTAAATGATGTTAATGCAATTGATGCGAAGGTGCAGGCGAGCAATTTAGTTATGTTGTGAAATATTTTGGCTTGTAAACGTATTCCTAAAATATGCAATACTTTCAGACAAACTTCAACGAAATATATTTCTACTTGAACCTCTTAAAATGTTTCTTTCAAGATGGTCCCCAAAATGTGTAACTACGAAATGGACTATGTACACTGCGCGACAACGTTACCACGAACACGATGTTGGCGATTTTTCGAATTTTACTTAGAAATGGTATTAGGAGGTACCACATTTTACCGCTTAGGTTAATGACCCAGATGAGCACCTTCAAACACACTAATAATATTGATGGCAGTCTCCTGATTTTTTTTTTTTACACTAACAGCTAAAACCAACATTCGCTTGTTCGCACTAACGGTTTCGCGCTCTGTACAATAACAGGGAGCTTTCGTAGACCGTTTTTGACGTCACGCGACGCTCCTAAACAACCCGCTATACGATACCCAGAACTCTACAGTCAAGGCCATGGGTGCACAGGCGCAGTAGCGGCTACTTCGTTGCAGAGAGCTTGGCGAAAGGGGAAACGCGGTCTACGAAAGCTTCCTAATAAAGTCTTAGAGTAACGCAGGAAAGCCATTTGAGTAAGCAAAAATTAGCGTTGCCTAAGTTTTTATATCGCGACGCTATTTTTAGGTTACCCAAAGCGCTTGCGTACGTTATTCTAAAACTCCCTTATAGTGAACGGGACATTTTTAATAGTGATAAATCAGACAGACTGACGGGCATATGACTGCGACTTCATTTTCTTACAAGTTCAAACACAGAACTGTCACGTACACACACACAAAAAAAAAATCATAAACCACAAAATGCTATCGCCTTGGTTGAGGAAGTCGAGCAGGAAAGTCGCGCCATCAGAAAGGCGACGCTCCAATTGTGATAGTTCGCGGCGGTCACCTGGCCGGCACGGCACCACCATTTGCAAGCTGCTGCAGCGATATCCTTAGGGAGGTTTCGTAGATCGTTTCGCGCTGTCCCGCAACGCTCTCCGCAACCCGCTACAAGATCCGGGTTTCTACAGCCAAGGCCATCGGCGCGCAGGCGCGGTAGCGGCTTCTTCGTTGCGGTGGGCTTAGCGGAGGGGAAAACGCGGTCTACGGAAACTCCCTCCCTCATGTCAAGGCCTCATCCCGTTTGCAGGTCGATGAAGTTGTAAATGTTCGGGTGAGCCCTCCCTGACACAGCGTTTATCTTACGGTGCCTTGTCTCCGAGGTTGTTTCGGGCGAGGAAGAAGTGATGTGAGCAAGGAGAACAGACACTGGACACTTGAACCTAATCAGCTGTTAACGAACAGTACAAACGAACCGAACGGTGGCCGAAGCGGAAAGGTAGTTTCGGGAAAGGGCGAAACGGGAAAGGATGAAACGAGAAGGTCGTTTTGAGCCGAGTCGAAACGGGAAGGTACAAACGGGAAGGTTGTATTGGGAATGGGTCGAAACGGGAACCACCCGATATATCCAGGCTACGCCGGGAACGTAGGCAACGTGGAGGCGCACATACTTGCGAGGAAGACCCTTCTCAATCACCCCTCGGAGTTATCAATACCCATCCTCCAACACAAACGATCCCCGGAAAAGCAATAAACAGTAATAAGAGAAACAAAAGAAAGAAAAGAAGTGTCGACAGAATATATCTAGTCTGCACCACTTCATACCGAGACGCATTGCAGGAAAGGCACAAGTCCTCCATACCAAAGCTCGCTCCGGCTATGCCCGACCTGACGACATAATTGCAAGATGGGAATCTTGCAATTATGTCGTCAGGTCGGGCATAGCCGGAGCGAGCTTTGGTATGGAGGACAATGCAAGAAGGATAATAATTGACTGCAGAAACCACTATTGTTGGTTGTCTATGAATTGCGATAGCATTTGTCACGAGACTGACGACGCAGCTCGCTGTGAATACGACGACGCAAATTTTGACTAAACATTTTATTTTATGAATGGTTTACGACGCAATCATTGACGTCGACGCAGCTGCAGTGCGCCACTTCGAAATCGAGTAATTGATTGCTTCGTTTCTGTGTAATCGTTTATTATTCTATCTCTGTGAAACGCTTAAAGGCTGCTTCCCACCGTCATTGCAGCTTCCTGTGTGTCTTGTCCTGTCTCTGTATAATCGGTTATAATGTGCAAGCTGCTTCACCGCTATCATTGACCATCTGCCTACTATACTTTGTCTCGTCCTACGGTGGACTAAAGGCCAAAGCCACGGGCCGCCAGGTCCAATCACGTTCCACGCTAAACTATGACATGCCTAGCATTGATTAGGGGTGGACGAATAATGCTCCGAACCCAAAAACGCTGCATCGTTTTTGATAGCTTCGACACTGCAAACAGCCTGTACGTCGTGGCTTTTTTGCAATGTAACATTGTTGAGTCACTCCCTGCTATTCGATTCGAACCACTGTCCGCCCATTCCCAACAGTGATCCGAGACGCGGGCCCTGATACGTGCATCAAAGCACAATACCAGACAATTTCTAAGTGGCTCATGATTGGATCGGGCGGTCCGTAGCTTTTGGCTTTAGTCCATCGTAGGGTGAGACGAAGTATAGCTCAACCCCAACCGATAATTCCTTCGTAACTCGGGCGCAAATCTGAATCTGTGCGTACTGCCGCTCCATGTATGCGCGGCGCGGATTTACCTCCTTGCGCCGCAGCCAATCGAGTGCGAGCACAGAGTGCGCATGCATTCTCTGCCACTTTCGAAGGGGTGCGGAAGTGAAGGAGAGAGTACTGCCGCTCTGCGTACGCGCGGCGCGGATTCAACTCCTCTTTTTTTCTTGCGAGCACAGCTACCGTATCGCGAAAACCGGGTGAAGTAGCTAAAGAATGCTATCGCAATAAAAACACACAAACTTCCTCCCGACCTACTCATTTTCAAGCAGTGTCGGCAAGAATCCCCAACGATTACCCATCTACTTTGGTCTAGAGTGCCTTCATGTGCGCTTCGCATAGAGTGATGCCAACTGGTTCTTTCCCTTTCCCACACCCTCTTCCACCGCCATTTTGTTCCTCTCATTGTTTCCCCGTGCGCCGAAAAGTGGCCTTTGTGTCCATCGGTAATCCCATCCGAGGGGGAAAAGGCTAATCCTTCCTCCGTGGGTTCCACAACGCTGCTCCGAACTTCTGAGATAAGGCGCTTGTTTCCGGGAGGGTTATAAGCCCCACGAATTATCGCCGAGAAACAAAATGGCTGCTGGTTTGTCGGCGAGTGGTATTACAAAGGGTGGCATCACCCTAGCAAAGCGCACATGAAGGCTCCCTACTTTGGTCCTTTACGACTCTGGAAGCCATTCGCAACAACCACAAACCACCGGAAGCCCGAACTCTCCAAGACCATAGACCATAGGAGGCTATGCCAAGACTAAATATACCTCACAAACAATACTAAACAATAAAAATAAATGAATAAAATAAAACTGCTCGCGTTGCGGGCCTTTGTCAAGGAGGCCCACCTCGTCAGCAGAGCCTGAGGATAGAAAACGCTCAACCCTAACTACCCTCTCTCCCCAAACAGGCCAGAGAGCCATCGTGATCGAATTAATTAATAATTTATTAATTCAATTTTAATCCTGCTTCAAGCTGATTGCGTGACACAAAAAATATGAAGTCACGAGTTCAGCAATCGACTTTCCTCTAGGGGCATCCGTCTTGAAATATATATGTACAGATGTTTGACGGCATCTAAGAAAGAAACATTTTTTTTCTTTTAAACTGCTGATGTACCTGCTCTTTTAGAAATGCTGTGAAGGTGTCGACGACAGTGAGGTTCCTCTTTGACCCCAGAGTTTTGCAGGCATTGGCATAGGTGGAAATGACATTGACGCTTCGGTACTTCAAAGGAAGCCCTGAAAAAAAAAGGTAATGTGCTGTTTCCATTGAGTTTCTAAATTTAAAGGTAGCTACCCACCTTTTCAAACTTGGCTAGGTTTATGCAAAATTATATATAAAAAAATAATAAGCGGGGCATTATAAAAAAACAAAAAAACTGACAGGCTTGCCGAGGTTTTTATTTGAGCCAGGGCCCAACTACCCAGAACACAATTTGCGGTTTGAATTTCAGTCGCGCTTTTTCTTTTTCATGGTCATGTGGCGTTTATCCTATACGCCAGTACTTAAGGGAATACAGGATTTTCTCCTTATTCGTATTAGACAGAAGAACGGCCGCGCCAAATCCTTCCCTGGTGAAATAATTTATTTAACGACGTCTAAGCAGACGTCATTTGGGTAACAAATCTGGTGCAGCTTTGGCAAGTTCAAAATTAGCTAATAAAGAGCCTATAAAACACTTCGTCCGATTCACTCCAGAAATGTGTTTATTTGTTTCTGCTAATATTTCTTTTTCCAGAGTCGTTTGTGCAGGCCACGAAAAGCACTTACCGGAGGTTTTGCGGGACGCAATCCAGGCATCATTATCTGCTACTGGTGGAGTGATGATTACAATATTTTCATCCGGTATACCACATATCTGGACAGCATTATGTACAAGCTTCATTATTTTCCACACACAAAAAGGTTACGCTAGCTTGATCATGCTGAAAAAACCGGAGAGCACAGTATGAGCTAGGCACACGTTTTGTGTGACGTTATAAGGTCACATGACTGTGACGAATATTGCATCGCGTGACGTCATAGTATCACGTGGCGGTAGAGTCACATGACCTCTTGTAACACCGTCCCGTCACTCGACGTCACGGTGTTATGATGACATCATGACATCGTGATGACGTCACGGCGTCACGTTAGATCATGACTTCACAGTCCGTGGCGATTCTTCATGATGGTTTTTCGTGACGGTTCTTTATGATGGTCTTTTTTATAGAACAGAATTCGACCGATGAAACAATTTCTGTTTCTGCGCGTAGCGGCATGTATGAGCAGGCGATGAAAACAATGGTTTATCTTGTGGTGTCACTCTTTGATGGCACGCGTCATTTTTCTTGTTTAAGCGACTTCTGTTTCCGTGTGCTCCTTCGTTGTTACAGCATGTCGAATCTACTTCGTTCAACCTCGCACTTCATGGCAAACAACGCGATGTAGTTAAATTACTAATCAACTCGGCGGTGTTCGACTCCTGTGAAAACAAGGAAGTTACTGCTCTAAAAAAACAAAGGACGAGTCCCATTTTCTTACGCAAAACATTTCGTTACGAAATATTACGTTGAAGTCACCGGGACCTCTGTGCTTCATATTAAGCGAGGCTACCAGTTCAGGGAGAAAGCATGACACGTGACATTTGGGACACGAATGTTTCGTTGACTTAAACGTAACGTAACTTAACGTAAGAAAATGGGGCAGTGTGAACCAGCCTTTAGGCAGCTCAAAAGAATGAACTCAGGGTGCGAGGTCGATGTGCCACTGCATAGTACCGTGTCTTGAAAAGTACACGAGAAATACGCCGTAGGTTGGAGGCATGCAGAGAGCAGTTAAAATTTCGGCCATAAAATTGTGTGTCTTTCATAAATACATATTCATCACAGGGTATGCTACAGTACAGTGTTACGGAGACCAAAATTTGCTTCCGGCATTAGGAAAAAAAAAAGGAAAAACTTGGCGCTTAAAGTCAAAGGGTTAAATGAACACCTCCGTTCCCCAAAAATCGTCCATAATGTGAGTCGGGGTTCATATTAACAAGACACAACTCTCAATGCTGCGGCTGAAGGGGGCCGATAGTTTCCGTCTCAATGCACAAAGTGCACCCACCTTGACATACGAGAGCATCTCTTCCATGTTCCGTACGTACTCATGTAAGGGAACAGCGGGGTCCCCGCCCTCCACAAAGCTGGAGCAGTCATTGGCGCCGAGGCAGATCACGAATGCTGCCACCGTGCTGGCATCCTCTGGGCCCAGGACACGGGGAAGCACGTACTTGCACATGCGCGAGTTGTAGCCCGAGAATCCACGTGCCACCACGTCACACTTCCTGGAGGAGGAGGCATAGTCAGGTGATCGGAAACAATAGGGACCTTTAGCAAACCGTTGCCGTGCTCCGCGTGCCGCACTATACGGAGCCTTTGAAGCATGCTTTTAAGCGCGCGCCAGGGGGGTACCATGACCGCGGGGCGCGCGCTTAAAAGCATGCTTCAAAGGCTCCGGTAGTGGAGTATGCGCGGAACACGGTAACGGTTTGCTAAAAGTCCCTAATGACTGCAGTCGGTCAGACTTTCAACAGAGCGGCGTTCCGTGGCAAAGAGCAATACAAAAGTAGCATACTAATTTGGTACTTTTTTAAACAAAACTGTACCTTTAAAGTATTTTTTCCTCGCTTTCATTATCCGAATTATACTTTAATTGTACTTTTAGTGTATATCATAGTTCAGAGGCTGCGGTTTTCGGGTCCACCAAGTCCGACAACTATAAGGTGTTCATACTGGAAGTATATGCTTAATATTCCGTTCATAAACCAAACCAAACCAAGAAAAAAAGAAAAGAAAAGGTATATACCTTAAGTCACCAAAACAGCTGTGGTCATCGTTGGGGGCGTGTCCCTACACACTTCATCTCTGGTGGTGTCATGTCGCCTCCAGAAGCTTCCTACCTCCATGCTTTTTACCACGGGATATATAGGTGCTCTGTCTCGGTTAATGTTTGATTAACATTTTTGGCACAAGGGCATTTGTTCTTTTTTCGCACATATCTTTGGCGGTATGTAGAGTGTTTTAGTTCTAATAGACATCAGTCGACTGCTCACAAAATACACGATGTCCTCTGCGGACATGACGATATCTGCTGACACGTCTCACGCATGTTGGAAACAAGTATGCTTCGTATAAGTGACCGTTTAGAACATGTCTGCGGGCAGTCTTTTGTAGTACAAAAGTGACCGCGACATTGAGCCCCTGCAGAGCGTGACGAGCATCTTACTATCGCTCCACAGCGTCAGTCGCGGATAAGAATGACGAATAATTATATTCACGAATCGAAAAGCGTAAAAAATAAGACATTTTCTGGGTTTGTTAAGTTGTCGGCGACTTAGTCACTCACTTTAAACGAACTAGGACGTCCTAACCCCCCCAAAAAAAGAAAGCATGCACTTTAGTTTTGACGTGGAAGGCTACCTCTCAAACGCAGTGGCAACAACAGAACCCCAGCAGCCTTCGGTTGAGAAGCAGTGCTGTAAGAGAGAAAGGCGGTATTAGGTTCAAAGTATTTTGTTTATATTTTTTAAGCATTTAACTTAAATCTTCATTTTGTAGGATTTTGTGAGGCATGTACAGGAAACTAACAAGATGTCTCAGATGTAAATTTAGGAAACTTTTCCCCTGCCGTGTGGCAGGCGCATCATATCCCTGCGACAGCAAGAAATATTTTATTTGAATATGACATTATCTGATCGGCAAATAAGCACGCGCCACTTCTGGTGCAGTGCGCTGCCCGCGCGACTCCCTTAGTCAAGATCGCGAGCTGATTCTCCGATCATTTATATATAATTTGATGAAAATCCCACGAACATTTGCCGTGCGGCAAGGCTAGTAATTTGAGAAATGGCACCACATTACACGACATACTTAGTCCGAAGCATTTTCATGCCGGTTTGCTTGCCGGCGTGAGTCGAATACAGCATGGCTATCTCGTTGATGCTACACATGTGCACACTCGACTACACTGGTGGCTCCGATGACATCATTTAGTCATTTGAAAGAGTACGAAATGTTGACGATCTCGTGTTCAGGCTAGTGGTGCAAAACTATCGATACTACTATCGATACTATCGATAGTGGAAGCCACATTTACCTATCGATAGTGAAAAACCTATCGGTAGTGCTATAGAATATAGATAGTCGAGTATCGTAAAACTGCTATCGGTAATATACTATTGACAGTCGACAATTTTAAAACTATCGATATTGGCGATAGTTGGCTATCGATATTTGAATGTCATAAAAAATATCGATAGTACGCTATAGATAGTCGACTATCGATAGTCGATTATCGTGAAACTCGATTGCATACTATTAATAGTCGACTATCGTAAAATTGCTTATGGTCGAATATCGTGAAACTATCGATAGCCAACTATCGTAAAGCTATTGATAGTGGTTTCTTAGTTGACGAAGAACGTCATGGGTTTATCCAGTAAATGACGCGTAGCTCGGAGAAAAAAGCGACTGCAATTAGGGACTTCCTCATGATTATCGAGTAATGATCTAAAACCTATGAGAAAACAACGAGAAAACGCGAATCCTCATTAGAAACTATTGACAATAAACTGCAAAAATATATATTGTGTAGTACTATTGAAAAACTACGAATAAAATATATCAACTTGATATGTGGTCGAAGTTTTTTTGTTTTTGTTTCGTTTTAGATTGCTTTTCGGGGTGTGTTTTTTGCTTTCTCTAGGCAGAGCTCAATCAGAAAAATAGAAATTACTGTCGCGCCGATGAGTAAACTATCGCGTCGCATAAAGACGAAACCCTGATTGAATATGTGCTAGCGATGGTGATAGAATGCGCAAGTGTGAAGACATGACTTCACCCGTATAAAAAAATACGTGTTTTTCTATTTCAAGCAAACGGGATGCAAGAAAGAAAGGAAACAATACTACGTTTCGAATTCACCAGTTTTTTTCACTGAAATAATTTCTCATTGCCAACAATACCGTTACTTGGATCACAGGAAATTTTCGTTTTATCGTTCATTTTTTATCCAGTTAACATTATATTCCCAAACTTATTGTATTTGAAGAATAAAAAGCTAAAAGAGTCAGTAAAACTAACCATGTCTCGGTATATTTTTATTTGGTAATGTTCAATTCGAAGTCTCACAACAAAATCATTGTACATATATTGATTGAAAAATATTTATTTAGAGATTATGCGCTTTTGTATTCTGAAGTCGTATTTTATACCAACAGGTACTTTTTTCCCAGCCACCATTATTACATTTTGCCAAAATATAACTGAACAAAAAGGGGCAACATATCACGGCAAATATGCCTAACTCCTTTTTTTTCAGCCGCAAATTCCCGATTATCGAAAATTAGCGGTATAAATAACCATCAGCAAAAAAAAAAAAGTATATATATATATATATATATATATATATGCATTGCTCCGTGCATGACCGAGAAGGAACGCTTCTCTTCTGGAAGATTTGAGTTTACTGTTAAGCGTAAAAAATAAGGAGGCCAACATGATCTTGTCGAGTCAATCTCGCCTTACTCAAACATCCTATATTTCATCTCATGAATTGCGTGCAGCAGAGGCAAACGCATAGGTGCGAGCGCGTGGCTTTCAGATTTGCTTTCCTTTCACGTGCACTCGCGGAAGGAAAGCAAATCTGAAAGCCACGTGCCCGCGCCTATGCCTTTGCCCTTGCTGCACACAACTGCAGAGATAGAATATCGAATATTGGAGGTATACCGAGTGCAATAAGGAGCCGAGCGCGACCATTCCGACGCACTCTCCTGATGGAGAGTGCGTCAGAGATTAGGCAGTTTTAGAATAGTGCACGCTAAAGCTTTGCGTACGCAAAGAATAGCGTCATCGCCATTGCGCATGCGCCGAACGCTAACCACGTTATGCGTTTTGCGTGCGCTTTTTTAGCGCACGCAATTTTTCAGAAATTGCGTGCGTACGCAAATAGTCTTTGCGCACCTCCAAGGAAATTTTGTGATGAGAATTTCGTAAAAGCCAAGCAAAGTTGGACATTTCAAAGCAACCTTAAGCGGTATCACCTCAGGACCACTTACCGTGCACCTTCACACAAAATTTACTTGTAATACACCGTTTTTTTATGCAATTTATTTTGTCGTTGTGATCAGAAAATTCCGAATTTTTCGGATGAATCGGAATGGACGAGAAATGTAGCCACGAGTGTATTTCGGATATCTTTTTTCGGATATATGCGAAAACGCGGAACCCTCTCATATGTCATAGAAATGACACGGTATTTGCTGCAGACATTAGAAAGTTTTAGAGAACCGTTTTTGCATAACGGACCCGGTACGACGGACCTTCCGGTACGAACTGCGCATGCGCTACCGCATAAGTCTCGCGCATGCGCAGTTCGTATCGGAAGGCCCATCGTACCGTATCGAATGTGCAAAAACGGCTCCCTAAAAGTCCCTAGTATGACGGAATCATCTGCGATTCAGCTCAAACGCGTTGTAATCATGTTTTCTTTATACATATGCATGTTTCGAACATGTCTGCTGACCATGAGCAATCTGCCAGGACCACTGTACATGTTAATGGCCGCGGCTTTGAAGTTTCACAAGCTACCGAGCCGTTGACAGACCTAAGAAAAGAAAGCCTCGGTACTCACCTGTGTGAGCGAGTCACCGAACAAAAAAATACGCGGCCACGCAACCCTCGCCTTCTGAGCCATTTCGCGTGTAATGACGCCGCCCCCAACGTAACACGCGCGTAAACTTCGTAGACGACCGTTTAAACCCTTCCAACTCTCGAACTACAGCTACACAGCGGAAATGCCGATATAAAACGGCGCCCAACTTCACGACCCGTGCCTAAACGTGGGGCAGTTTCCGAAGCTCGTAGCGTGCGCGTATATATACAGCTGGACGGTGGTTTCATTTGTTTTTGCTTAACACACAGCTGCACTGGAAATGGAACGAGAGAAGTGTACGAATAAGTGCGACTACACTTCAAAAGTGGCTGTGACTTACTTGCGTCACCTAGTGAGGGTATTTGTTTGATGCAAATTAATTTGTTTGGAGTATCGTATATAAGCGAACAACCAGTATGACGGAAACGATTTCGATGTGATTTTGCATGCCAGACCAGAAAGTTATCGCACGGAAACGTGCGATCGGGGCAACCAAAAATCACCAGAAATCCAAACGCTCGTTCGCATGCTTTGTCTCGGGTATTTTTAAGCGAACTAAAATAATGCATAACCAAAATAATAGTATCTCCTTTCAAAGTTGCAACAGTGAGGTATTGATACTTAAATGTGTGTGTCGTAGCCCTTTTGGCTTCGTCCTCCGAAGATCGGGATTGTGTCCTCGGGTCATCTATTGGGATTGATGATTTTCATCGTGTATTTGAGCTTACTTTCACAGCTTCATATTTTGGCCGCCAGGAGCTGTAAATATCCGATTCGCTCGAGAATTGAATAGAGAGCGGACCTGCAACCATAGCCTTTCGTTCTAGCCGCTAGGTGCCGTCCATTTCACTAGAGAGAGATAGAGAGAAGTACTTTATTCATACAACTCAAGTAGAGTCGCCTATAGCCCCGTCAGACACCCAAAAATAAGTCAGTTCCATATAATGACATTTGAGCGATAATCCAATCAGAACGCGATACTCCTGGCGCAGCGCGGTGCACGAGCGACGCTCATAGTCAGGATCGCCAGATAATAATAATCTTTATTTTGTTGTGTCCACAAACAGCACATAGCCTAAATAGTGGTACACAGTTCGTCACTGGAAATTAAATGCAGACAGTCACATTAAATCTAGCGGAAAAATTTCCCCGCTAAATCTAGCGGAAAAATTTCCCCAGTAAATCTAGCGGAAAACTTTTCACAAATGATCGACTCCAGTGTACGTCAAAAACTTGTCACGTCACTGAAAATGTCTATAGCAGATTGGTCAAGCCTGTTATATTCCAGCTGCATTCTTGTTAAGGAAGACGTATAATATAAAGTCCGGGGGTAGAACAGGCTCTGAAACCGACTTGACCACAAGGGAACATGGAAACGAACAGTACTTAACAAAAGCGATGAAACAACACTCCCGTTCACGACCTTATGGAAAAAAAAAAACACATAAAATCATGTAAACGCCTTCTATCGATCAAGGTGCGCAACCCTAGTTTCTTTAGTAGTTCATTATAGCTGTAGTAATACTTGCACCCGAAATGGCTGTCATAGATTATGCCTATGAAGCGTCTTTGAACACGCTCAACAGAGCATGACGCAGTGTGGTTGATACACTTCCAAACAATTGAAGCAAACTCCAGCTTTGTACGCACTAAACAGAAACACAAACGAACTAGACAATCAAAAGAAGGAAATTGCCTCGTAAAACGAAATATCACCCCAAGATTCCTAAGAGAGTGATTACATATAGCTGAAACATGATTATTAAAGCTTAAAGATGAATCAACAAAAATTCCAAGATCACGAATGGCGGACACTCGGGAGATGACACTGCTGTCTATTGTGTAAGGGCACACAAATAAATATCGCTTTCTAGACAGGGACATTATTTTTCTCTTTTGCTCATTAAGCAAAATATGGTTCATAGAACACTACCTTGAAATTACTATCGCGTCATCCCGAAGACGTTTGCGCTCCGAGTACGAACGAACACAGCGAAACAATTTTATGTTGTCGGCAAATAGTAATACTTCAGAGTTTTTCACGCTAATGTCGTTCACCAAAATCAAGAATAAAACTGGACCAAGGTTGCTTCCTTAGGGCATTCCGGAAGGCAACAAACATTTATCAGACATGAGCCCTGACTCACGAACATAACTTTCACGACATGAGAGATAAATTTTAAACCAATGGCGGTACGTTGTACACAAACTATAACTATCAAGTTTGGTAAGAAGAATATTGTGATCAACCTTATCGAAGGCCTTCGTCATATCAAAATATATTGCATCGACTTGTGCACGGTCACAAACAAATGGAACATTATAATCTAAAAAAAGAGCACAGACTAGATTGAACCGGCTTGCCCTTCAAAAATCCGTGTTGCTCGGGGTTTATTTTTAGGCTGAAGTAACTGTACAGACGCTTGTGTATTAGCATCTCAAAAACCTCGGAAAAACTACGCAATAATGAAACGGGACGGTAGTTGTTTGCAATACTAGGATCGTCTGATTTATGAATCGGAACAACTACGGCGCTTTCCAGACAGACGGAAATATTCCTGAACGAAGTGATAATTTAAATATGTGTAATAAGACAGGAGACAGAAGCTGCACACACCCTTTCACAATAAAACTGGGAATGCCATCTGTACCACAAGACCTTTTAGGTTTCATTTTAAAAATGCTTTCCTTAATTTCAGGTTCGTAAAATGGGGTAAAAGAAAGAAAGTCTAATGTGCCTTGGCACGTCGTGCTGCCGTCAGTGACTGCCGCAGACAAAAAACAAGATTTGAAATGCACTGCAAATGCATTTGCAATTTTACTTGGATCACATATGTAACCAGAATCATCTCTTATGGGAGGGCATTATGATTTCGATTCTTTTCCGATGGTACATACTTCCAAAAGTTTTTTTGGCTTCGTGTGCATATCGGTCCCAAGTACAGCCGTATGCATACTTTCGTCTTGTCTAAAAAGCCCGTTTGCCAAAGCACGACACTCACTAAATTTGGCGTATCACTCATGCAGTCCAGAGTTTTAAAAAAGACGATAATGATAATAAAGCTTACGTCGTAGGCAACGCCTGAGCTCCCTTGAAAGCCATGACGGGTACTTGTTTGCCCGAGAAAAACGCTTAGGCACGTATTTACCTATGGCGCTCGAAACTACTATTGTAAGAGCCTCAGCAGCCGAATCTGCACAATTATCATTCTAGATCGGTTACCAGTCATAGCTCTGAAAGTGCTTGTACATATTAATTTAATCTGTCTTACTGTACAAAAAATATTCCTTGCTGCACGAGCCTCGTTGACGCAGCGGAAAGAGGAAGGACATAACAAAAGGTGGATGGAAATGATCAACACGTGTTAAGGGGTCCACAATTGGCAAGATACAAACAATTGGCGAGGAAACTAAAACAAGGTCAAGTGTATTTACCTCTGAATTCTGGATATTGATTTGTACAAATCCAATAAAATAAATGAAATCCAACAGGCTCGATACTTTCAGGCTGGTGAACTTGCTCACCAACGAGTCATAAGCTGCCAGCCAGTCAATTTCTGGTAAACTAAAATCTCCATATATCTGAACACGGAACTTCCTCATATGAAGCTGTTGTTCTAGATTTTGAAAATGACGTGCAAAAACCTCTGAGTCAGAGTGTGGTGGAAAATAATAGTTTCCTATTAGATAATTAAGCCCGTCACAGGACGTAACCTCAACCCATAAAGATTCCGGGTAAGTCTCTAGGTCATATCTTGTACATGCACACAGTGGCGCGTCCACGGCGGTTAAACCCATAGAGTTATTATAATGTGCGCTAGAGGTTCAACTGGCGCTAGTGTCTACGCGACTTTCAGGAGGCAAATTGAAGCAGACAGCAATTAGTCTACTTTTGCAGTGCTCCTGTGCATCCCCATGGGAAAACGCGCGTGCATTTTGTCTCTTCGCCGGAAAATAACATGAATAACTTTTGTTATTTTGGTTGTACCGGATAGTGCGTACCTTTATTAATATTGGGAAAGCGTAATTGCTTTAGTTCCAGCATTTTTCTTTACCACTGAACGATGTTAAACGTCGCTGTATTTCAATCGATCAATCAATCAATTAATTTTATTTACATAATCATCAAATAGTGATGTGGGCTGCAGAGGCAAAAAGTCAAAACAGTTTTGACTTGAAAGGCCACTGCAGCCTTACAATTGGCATACGGTAACAAACAACAGCAACCAGGGGAAAACAAGCAGACAGCGACATGGTAAAAAAAAACAAAAAAACTATAAAACACTTATATACTCTACTTGCTGCTAGAAGAAGGATTTGACCTCTTACACAAAGAACGAAAGAACGACAGCATCTAGTGACTGGATGTATACAGGAAACAAAAATATATAAAACGGATGTATTTACAGCTCACAAAGACAATTTATCTTTTATTAGTGAAAACAAAGTTTTCGAATTTCATTTAGATGTAGCTTTTAAATGTTTGACAAATTTTGTTTTTCAACTTTATTTAAGACAAGCGGAAGATTACAGCTTAACATTTGAAACCCATAGTTCGTGCGCTTTAATGGAATTTTCCAGCGCTCCCTTTCCCAAACGTCATAAGGTTTAGAAATGGGAGTTAAATTTGAAATACAAGTTAAAAATGGTTCATTACATCGGAGGGTGGATCTATATCGTGTGAGGAGAGTAAACTCCTTTGAATCAAGAATGGATGTTAGATGCAGCTCTTTAAACAGAGGACGAGTGTGTGTGTCAAAAGACACATTTCGTATAATGCGGACAGCCTTTTGTTGAAGAATATGTAATTTATTTAGGTTGGAAGGGCTTGTAGTGCTCCACACCAAGCTACAGTAATTTAAAAGAGGTTCAAAAAGAGCTTTATATATGAGCAATTTCAACGACAAGGCGGCATATTTTTAAACTGGTACAATTTTCCCAGCACTTTTCAAAGTTTTTTTAGCTATATTGATAATATGATCATTCCAAGACAGGTGGTTGTTAAAATAAACTCTTAGTGTTTTCACATTTTACGAGTTGAA